GAACAGACCTTTTAATTTCTTAGGGCAAATGTTCCCTCTACACAGAATTCTTCTATTGTTCATATTATAACGTTCTCAGGATTGAGAAGCAGATATATTTAAGTCCTTTTTTGTTAGCCTGAGAAGCAAACGGGACTGATGCCCCATCTTGAAAATGGTCAAGTTTCTATAGCAAACCGTAATAATTGTAATATTACTTAAGGGATCCTTTCACAGTCTTTTCTTAGAATTCTAGATGTGGCATAGTTAGTTTTTTGTTTGTTTGTTTGTTTGTTTGTTTGTCTTTGTACCTATAAAAGACTGGGAAATCTATAGTAGCTCAGAAAGGATAGGTGAAAAATTGAGTGTGTCTGTTATTAAATGAGCATGTTTGAATCTACTGGGAAATAGGACACAATGCAGGTCTTGGGAATATACATATTTGACCAAAGCAAATAGATTTGCAGGGCCAACTGGGTGCTCAAATTTCAGGGGTATCATGAGGCTCCATCAGTGGTATACCTTGCTAATTTGACACCCAGAATCATTTTTGAAACATCCACACTCTTCCATATAAAATTGTTGTCAGTGGTAATGAATAATAATTAATAATCAGGACTTTAGCTGTTTTATTGAGATATGATTGACATACAGCACTGTGTATGTTTAAAATATACAGGATAATGACCTGACATACCTATATTATGTAATAATTTCCACAATAAGTTTAGTTAATATCCATTATTTCATATAGATACAAAGAAAAAGTTGTTTTTCTTGTGATGAGAACTCTTAGAATTTACTCTTACAAGCATTCAAATATACCAGATAGCAGTGTTAGCTACAGATCATGTTGTTCATCATATCCTCACCACTTACTTATAACTGGCAGTTGGTACCTTTGACCACCTTCACCCATTTCACACACTCCTCACTTTTTGCCTCTGATAACAAATCTGAGTTTTTTCTATGAGTTTACTTTCGGTTGTTGTTTCTTTGTCTATTTTTTAGATTCTATACATAAGTGAGACTACACAGTACCTGTCTTTCTCTGACTTACCTCATTTAGCAGAATGTCCTCAAGGTCTATCCAGGTTGTCCCAAGTAGCAGGATTTCCTTCTTTCCAGTGGCTGAATAACAAATATTATCTTCTTTATTCATCCACCCTATTTCTATACCTAATCTACCTATCTATTATCTATCTATCTATCTATCTATCTATCTATCTATCTATCTACCGATTTACCTAAATACCTATCTATCTACTTTTTACCTTTTAAGACTTCAAGAGGACTGAAGCCAAGGACATATAGCTAATCCAATAAGCATATTCATTTTGGCAGTTTATTTCCATCCAAAATATCAGTAAACTTGAAAAAGAGAGATAAGGGCTGTCTCCTTCTATTTTTTTTCTTCCATATATTTGCCAAAGAAAAGTATAATTATTTTTCATTTGTATTTAGTAATGGCTGATTGGTTTTTAAAAGTTCTTTCAATACTGGTAAAGTCTTTATTTCCATGTTGAAACAGCTTTTCATTTAAAAATAAATAGTGTCAACTCCCCTCTATTGTGCACTAATGGATTTTAATGAGTTCATCACCACTGCCTTTGCATTACCCAGGTGAAAAGGATTATGAAGAATGGTGATGCTGCTGCTGCTGCATTGTTTAATTTAAAATTACAAATTTTTATACTGTGTTTGTTGGAATGCCTTTATCAGTGGAGATCAAGGCCCCAGCTTACTGGAAGCACTGGAGAAAGCCAACCACACCTCTGTCTTCTTACTGAAAATGAGACTAAACTATTGGATTTTACTCTCCACTATGGTTTGTCTTCCCTAAACCACTGAAAGCCCTGGAAACAAAGCCTTTTACATCTCCATCTTCATTATTTTGGCTGGGAGTTGTTTTGGCATTTCTCTGACATTCTTGTTTTGTGTGCTTGTTTTCTTTGGATTCCTTAGGGAATTTATTTGAAGGGCAACAGATTTATTGTCAAGCATGTTGGACTGTTTATTTTAAGACCACATTTTGTAGTTGTGGAAATTGACTTATCTGGAGAAGAACCAGAACTGGAATGGTCTTGACCAGTGATTTTCAACAGGTGTGCCACAGAAATGTTTAAAACATGCAATACTTGACTATTGAATGAGGAACACTGACTTCTTTTCCTTTGGATTGTGAAATCAAATTTAAAAATGACAACAGTGAACACAACAATAGCCTTCCAGTGTGAATGAATCAAAATTATACCCTTTTTTTAATCTGATAAGCAAAAAATATATTTTCAATGTGCCAAAGAATTTTAGTAATTGGTTTATGTGTGCCATGGGATGAAAAACTTTGAAAATTGCTGGTCTAGACAGCCAGGAACGGTGAATGCTGTGCTGGTTAGGATTTCATGTAGCTCTAGGCAGGGGCCATCCTTTTATATATATACTAAAGGCCTGGGGCATGAAAATTCATGCACTGGGGGTGTCCCTCACCCTGGCCTACTCCCAATTAAGCTTGTGGTACTTTGTATGGAAGCCCCAGAAAGCTAATACACAATGGATAATTTTTTGAAAAATGTGATATTTTTAAAAACCATGTTATTGATACTTTAATGGAGATTACCACAATAATATCATAACCTTATTCCCCAAGGTTTTCCAAAGCTCTTCCTAACTGTGAATAAAGAGTAAAAATCATCTGAAGATAATTTTCTTTCTAAAAAATTATATATTTATCTCCAAATAAGCTGTCCCATCCGATATAAATAAGCATTGAGTATTCTTTTATTCCAGATTTAGCAAATCATTACTGTTCCTTGTTCTTCTAAATCATTTCTATTAACATTGTTGATATGAAGACTTTATATGGAGATGAAGATAAAAAATAGCTGATATTCAGCTTAGAAAAGTTAAAATATTATGTGGTTCAACCTAATACACCAATATTAAGAGTCCTTACAGTTACCAACACACTTGATTTATCAAAAAGGCTTAGCTCCTTCAAGAATGTGGCTTAATATATTATAAATAGACTGAATGGTTGGCAGGAGAGATCACTTATGTTTGTGAATGATACCAAGTTGGCGGAGATTAACATTATCATGTAGGGCCAGACAGGAATGCAAAATGAAACAATCAATTTGAAAGAGTAATGTGCACTGGATGAAGTGAATTACAATTATGGTGCATGCAATATTTGAAAAATGCAACAGGAATAGAAACGTTTACATGGACTGGGTCACACACAGAGGACTTTTAAAGTCACAGCCAATCACAGGTGCAGGCTCTGCTGAACTTGCCCAAATGGGACCTCTGAGCCTTTCATTCTGACTGACCATCTGGACCTCATCATGTGAATTTTGGCTGCCACATTGAATAACTGTTGGCACCAGATCAATGATTCCATTCCGTTGTGGTCTATGAATTTCAGGCATTAAGACATCCTATATAATAAAACCCTAATATGCAAATCGACGGAACTGCAGAATGAACGGTCGCTATGACGCACACCGACCACCAGGGGGTAGACGCTCAACACAGGAACTGCCCCCTGGTGGTCAGCGTGCTCCCACAGGGGGAGCACTGCTCAGCCAGAAGCCGGGCTCATGGCTGGCGAGTGCAGTGGCAGTGGTGGGAGCCTCTCCAGCCTCTGCAGCAGTGCTAAGGACCCCTCAGGGGTGGACTGCGAGAGGGTGCAGGCCAGGCTGAGGGACCACCTCCCCCCCATGCACAAATGTCGTGCACCAGGCCTCTAGTAATATTATAATATAAGCCAGTCAGAGAAAGATAAATATCACATGATCTCACTCACTTGTGGAATATAATGAACAACGTAAACAAATGAACAAAAACAGATCCAGAAACAGAAAAGCATCAATCAGACAGTCAAACCTCAGAGGGAAGGGAGGAGAGGGTGGGGGTAAGGGGGAGAGATCAACCAAAAGACTTGTACATGTGCATATAAGCCTAACCAATGGACACAGACACCAGAAGGGTGAGGGCATGAGTGGGGGGTTGGGGGGGGCAATGGGGGATAAGGACACATATGTAATACCTTAATCAATAAAAAAAATAAAATAAAATAAAGAAGAATACTATCCCTGCAACCCATTCAAACTCTCCTCACCTTTCAATGCTTATTTAAAGGTCAAGGAAGTCCAGAAAGTCTCTTCCTTTTTATTTCTATAGGTCATAAACTGTATTGCTCAAACTTAACAGAAAGTCTGACATCAGTTCTCTTCATATGTCAGTCTCAACATCGAATTTGTAAATTCTTAGAGCCAAGGGCCAAGGGTTATACATATTTTGCACTTCAGTCTAATTTATATGTAGCCAATGAAAACATTACTAGGCTTCATTAAGCAGATTTAATAAAGTTAATGATCCCAGCAATAAAAACAGCAAAATGTAGATTTGAGAGCATGAAAGGTTGAGAAACTTGTGTGGCAATAGATTAATGTGGGTCTTATTCTTTTGATTCTTGAACCAAATTTCCTCATTGAGAAACAAGCTATATACTTAACTTTCATGTCAATCTTACCCAAGGTGGTATTTATATATCTATACAATTTTATTACATGTTAGATTCAAATAAATAAAAGGCCAAAGTTTGGTTGAGTGTAAGATTCCTTACTCAGAATTTGTAGTTTTATGTGCTATAAAGTGTACTTACATGAAAATAATTTTTACTGGGCTTTTGTCTCTGCAATGTGGAGGTACTGAGGTTTTTTTCTATCTAATTTTTTTTATGTTTATTACACTTCAGATTTATTATCTATCCTAATGTCTCTATAAATTAATGTTTTAGCATGATTTCTCAAAGTTGGTTATTTAAATAAATTTTACATACTCCATTATACTGTATATAATAATATCATTACCCTTTAGTCAATGTAATATATATGTTTGAATTTATTATTGCTCAATCTTGAACCAACATTACCCTTAACTCTTTTAGTTATAATAATGTGTATTTTTTGTTTTTTGGAAAACAATTTGAGTCTAACTGGATGTCGTTAAATCCTCAGGCCATGGTAAGTGTGACTGTGGAAAGTGCAAATGTGACAAAGGATGGTCTGGGGACGCTTGCCAGTACCCAACTAATTGTGATCTGACAAAGAAAAAAAGTAACCAAATGTGCAAGAATTCTCAAGATATCATCTGCTCTAATGCAGGTAAGAATTTGATTCTATGAAGATTCTTAAGTGAAATAATCAAATTTGGGTTTTTAATGGAAGTACTTATGCATTTTGGAGTGTTGAACCTCTGAATGAAACTGCTTCTGAGTATATTTTTTAGAAATGAAATTCAGATAAATCAATAGAAAAAAATGTCACCTTGCTGAGACTGGCAAGTTTGATATTCTCCAGCTGTTCCAAATGCCTCCTTCAAGTAGGAAATTCACTGGAAACAACACCCCGATGACATTTGATGTACATTGTCGGCCCTGATTTTGAATGCTAAAATAAATCTTTGAAAAATTATTTATATAAACTGACTTAATTATTTTCTGTTACAGATCCAGATTTGTCAGCCATCAAATAAAACCAAACCTTTTTAATTAAATAGAAGTTTCTGATGCACTATGTGAAACTCATTAAAGAATACAGTGACAGCAAGCTTTTTTGTTTGATCAAAATATTTTTACCTCTCACAGAAATCATTTAAAATATATTTTTAGAAATTTAAAGAAAAGCTGTTAAAATTAATTACCAAAACCCTATTTAAAAAATAAAACAACTACAGTTTCATACAGTTTCAATTCCAATGTTTTCAGCCAGTATTGCTAGAATTACATTCTCTTAACATTTGGTCACATGGAGCCTCAAAGTCAGCTTTTCGCAACCTGACTGGACTTGAGAATGTTGGTGTCCTAAACTAGAGGCTGTGATTCAGTTGTCTCAGGGTATGGTCTGGACTATAGGTGATTTTTAAAGCTCTTGTGTAATTTGTATGTAGATCCAGCCGTCTGAGCCTTTGCTCTTCCTGTTATAAGCAAGGACTTGAGGACAGGCATGACTATCTTCCCTCCGGAAGCTCACTTTGTTGGTAGAGTCCTGCAATCAGAGATAAGACCTTTCCAGTTTTTGATTTGCAACGAATTGCTCTTGTGCAGCCTAAGTGCAGTGAGGCTTTCTGCTCTTGCTCCTGGGAATCAGAGCCACGTCCAATGCAAGATGTGAATGGACCAATCAGGGGCCATGACTAATGGTCTCAGCAGCCAGGCCACTTTCTCTGTTGACTGATATTCTTGCTTCTTTCAGTCTTTTCTTTTCTCTCAATCAGATTTCTCTACTTCCAGTTCATAACACCCACCCCTCCCAATGTGTGTGCACCCACACGCTCGCCCCTCACACCCCCACACAGCTTCTTTTGTTGTGAAAACTTTATGCTTTCCAAACCTTCTTAAGTAATAATACTTGAATTTTGTTTGTTTCTTTGTTCTTTATTTTTTGGATTTATTTATTTTGTTTTCAAGTTAAATTCAAGGTATTGGGTTTTGTGTTGTTGTTGGTTTTTTTTTCTCCTTCTTTTTAATAATATATTCAACAGGTAGATTTTAGCTTAGGAATCCAAAGATGTTTCAACATAAGAAATCTAAACATGTGATGCACTACATTTAGTTATCTTTAAGGAGAAATTTTACAGAATTCTTTTAATAGATAAAAACATTTAGTAAGGTACAAAACACATTTCTCAGATATCTATAGCCCTATATTTTTTAACATTAATACAAAGCTTTGATGCAATCTGCCATTCATATTCCAGTTTTTTCAATTGACCCAACAATGTTCATTCTTTATAGCGTATAGTCAGTCCTATTTTGACCAGCCTAGTTCAGGACCACTCCCCTCAAATTGCATTCATGTATGAGTTCTTTCTACTAATCTTTCTTTCCACTTCATATTACAATGTGGTTTTCTGGAAGTAGCTTGGAGCAGAAGAGGAAAAGAGGTAAATGGAGTGGGGCATAAGACTGAAGGGCAGGCTGAGATGGAGCTGGGGACTAATGGAGTTCCAGAATCTTCTGACTCTGTAGGGGCCCAGAAAGGCAAGCACAGTCTGCAGGGTGAAGTAAAGTGTGATGCCATTGCACAAGGGTATAGGCCAATGTTCAAGACTGGGAAGCTGCCCTAACCGGTTTGGGTCAGTGGATAGAGCATCGGTCTGCGGACTCAAGGGTCCCAGGTTCGATTCCGGTCAAGGGCATGTACCTTGGTTGCGGGCACATCCCCAGTGGGGAGTGTGCAGGAGGCAGCTGATCGATGTTTCTCTCTCATCGATGTTTCTAACTCTCTATTCCTCTCCCTTCCTCTCTGTAAAAATCAATAAAATATATTTAAAAAAAAAAAGACTGGGAAGCTATCCTAGAGAGACAGCAGCATTAGTCAGAAGGATGTGTCTGTGCTAAAATAATCTGGCATAACAGAAGACCAGTCCTAGAACCTGAGTTAACTGGCAACCAAGAGAGAGAAGCAGTATGACATAGCATGAACACAGGAGTCTGGCACTTTTGCCAGGTCTTCCATATGCCATATCTTGGAGCCTCAATTGTGATTTCTCCTTGGTAGGTGAGACAGGAAGTCTTTGAGCTGTTGTAAACTTCCTATATCAGCCAGGAATGGTTCCAATGTGTGGAAGGGAGTGAGCCTGCCTGTGGGAGATGTCAGTGAGAAGTTGTAGAATTCAGAGGAAGAGACCATTTCTTCCCATCTTCCCTGAAAATAACTACTGCATACACTCCTATGTTATACCTCTCTCTCCAAAACCACGAAGCCTCCAGGAATTCCAACAGATAAATTCTAAAATTTTTCACCAGTAGTCTTGATCCTCTACTATCTGGCTTCAACCTACCCTTTTCTCCAAACTCAGGTCAGATGCTTCACTGTCCTTTAATTCTCCACTCGTAATCCTTAGCTCAAGATCTTTCCTCAATATCACATCTTTTCTTCATTTCCACTTGTTGAAATTCTATCCATGGTCAAGTGCCAACTCTAGAACTTACTCTTTTATTGTGCCTTTCCTCCTTCACAGAACCAGACTAGGATTTAAGTTTATAGTTTCTATAAAGCATTTGTCACAAATCTATTGCAAATGCCTTTGTATCATCTAGTTTTATATATATAAAAAATATTATAAATACATACATATATACATACACAAAGATTAGCTAAAAGCAAGTTTACAGTTGTATGTGAAACACAGAGTTTATTCTTGTATTACTATTTATTATCTTATTATTTTTTGTATTACAACTGTAAGCCTACTTTTGCTAACCCCTGTATAAATGATTAATCATCTAGCTCTTTCTGCCTGGTCTATGATTTACTTAGTTTTAATTTTATTCATCTTATTATCTCTTATAATTTTATTCATCTCATTATCTTCTATAGTTTTCCTCTTATTATCTCCTATAGTTTTCCAATAATATAATAGGCAACAAGAAAATTTAATGAATACATATGTGGATGGTTGAGGGACAGCATAAATGTGACAATGAAAAATAAGGTTAATAATTAAAGAAAAAATTGAAATGAGGCAGGACCATGAATTAGAGCACTAGATTTGAAACCAACTTTTATAAGTTAAAATCATTTTCAGAAAAAAGCACACAAAAAACGAAGTTTAAGAAAAGTAAAATTCATACATGCATTCTCAAGGAAGAAAAATAACAAGCTCAAATTCTGCAAAATCACGCATTTATATGTGACTATAAGATAAAAATAAGTGTTATAGCTAATAACAAATTTCAAGTGACTAGAGTAACAGAATCATGCAGAGGGTATGAAAACAGGGGTGCATAAATATAAAGTGTACCTGAAGAAATATACTAGGTATCTTAATGGGAGAAGAGGAAAAACCCAAAGTTTTCTGAAAGACTACTATATACTAGACACAGTAGTGTTTTTAGAAAGATGATTGGATGATATCACTTGGTCCTCACCGCAGCTCTGTGAGGTAGATATCATTTGTAGATAAGGAATTTGAATTAAAGATTAAAATAATAACCTCAGAAAGGTGTAGCTAGCCCTGGCTAGTGCGACTTACTTGGTCTGGCATTGTGCCGTGCACCAAAAGGTTGCTGGGACTGATTCTTAGGGCACATGCCTGGGTTGTAGGCTTGATCCCCAGTAGAGGATGTGCAAGAGGCAGTGGGTTAATATTTCACTCTCACATACATGTTTTTCTCTCTCTCCCTCTCTATTCCTCTCTCTCTAAAAATCAATAAAAATATAGCTAGTGGGGATTAAAACCTGGATTTGGCTACACGTCTACCTAAATCCAAGATTTTCAAGTAGGTCACATATAGAATCTCCGGTATCGAGTGGCTCAAATCATTTATCAATATCATCTCTGGTTCCTCCCTATTCTTCACCAAGTCAAGCCCAATCAGTCACCAAGTTTTGTCTGTTCTTCTACAAAAGGTGCATTTGTTTCTTTCTAAAGTCCTTGCCATCACCTCGGTCAGCTTCTACCTTCTATGCAATAATTCTTTCCTCGTATCTACTTTTCCCCTCATTTCAGCTTATTCTTTGTATGACAACTACAGTAATCTGATAAAAATTCATAAATTACCACATGACTCTATTATAAATATATTTATGGCTTCTCATTACTCTTGGATTACAGTTCAAAATTTTTAACATGATCTATAAGACTTCCATAAATTGCACCTTTAGTTGCCTAATTCTTTTTATGCCACTTTTCACATTATTGTTCTTCACTATCTCTCATTTCTTTTATTTTTTTTTGTTTGGTTTTTAGTTTTCAGCTTAATAAGAGCTACTTCTCCAGGGACCCTATCTTTGACTTTCAGGTGTCAGTTAAATCCCCTTGCTATGTGCTTTTGCAACACTTTGCACTTCTCCATTTACTTTGTCACATTGAGTTCTGCTCATATAAAAAATCTGAGAAAAGGATTTGATTGAGTTGATCTGTTATATTCTAGAGTCTAAGGTGGTGTCTGGTGAGTGGGAAAGTCTCAATTTATCTTTAATGTTGTGATGATCAATTAAAAATTGAAAAATAAATATTCAAAAGAAAGTTCCTTAAATGAAAATTCTATCTCTCGGTATCATTTAAATGCTGTTTTACTGTCAGTGAAATCACTCTCAGGAGTTGAAGTGAAATCCTCAAACTTGGCTGAATATGTGGTATATGGTAGACCAGATAACTCCAGCGTCTCTATCACCCTGAGCTGCCTTGTGGTTCTGATGAGCTCCTAGGTTTCTCTGCCTAAGAAAGCCCATTCTGCTCCCCTGTCATTAGAATATGTATATCAGTTTGACACTGTGGATAGGAAATTATTAGGGGCATCTACATTTTTCATTTATGCATTTAATAATGAATTCCACAAATGTTTATTACATAAATAGTATGCTCAAATATTGTATCAAGCATTGAGTAAATACTGGTGAGGCAGATAAGTAAGGTTACTTTCCTCACAAAGCTTAGAATTTTCTGCTTTAGTTCATTTCAGACCCAGGTAAATCAGAAGGTATTCATTCACACATTGATTGGAAGGACATGAATAAGCAGCTTTGCACTGAGGAGGTCAAATTTAAATTCATGAAACTATTAGAGGTCAATCATAATGGCTGTGCTAGAAAAAATAAGTTCTGTGCTACAATAATCTTAAGAAAGAATGTCTTGTTATCTATCTCATCATACCCAAAAAAGTACACAATTTCAATAGTAAATTGATTTGAATTTTCTCTTTTTGAAAGAGGTTAAAATTCATTAAGTATAATTTATATGCATTTGACAAATAATTTTTGCTTGGTTTTAATGGTTTAGGTACATGTCACTGTGGCAGATGTAAGTGTGATAATTCAGATGGAAATGGACTTGTTTATGGAAAATTTTGTGAGTGTGATGATAGAGAATGCATAGATGATGAAACAGAAGAAATATGTGGAGGTATGTATATTAACTGCAGAAATTAATAAAGTACTTGATTTTTCACTTGTTTCATTGTGCTTTTATCTCTCTATAAATTTCTGTACCAGCTTTATGAATTTTATCTGAACTTACATTATTTGGAAAACATTTTATATAAGGGAAGTTATACTAAGGCATTCAAAGTAACGTGTACTTTTTAAATGCAAAATCAGATTATTGCTGGAGGAGAGTCAGATCTTACGTCAAGCAGGCCAACTACATAGTTCTGAAGTGGTTGGACTTCATCTTTTCTGCTCATCTTATCTGCTTTTATTGTCTCTTTTCTCCCAATCTTTCAATTGCATATTTTATTTTCATTCTCTTTCTACGTCATTAACCGTTAAATGATGTCAGGTCCTATTGGAGACATGAGGCCAATAGGTTTATTAGCTTAGTATTTACTTACCCCCCAACACACACATACAGATAACATTTTTCATGATCTTTTCTATGTACCACCATTACTCAAATCATTTTGTCTGTTGTACTAGTGATTGCATACTTGCTAGTGCCAGTCACTGGTACAACATGAGGTAATGCCAAAGACTGTACTCTTGACCCCTCACCAATGAGAACTGCATCAGTGCCCAGGATGTGGCGTTCCATGAGATGATACACTCCTCGCCACCCATAGTGTCCCTCTCTTCTGTTTACCTAACTGCAAGCCTGTTCCTAAAGTTTCAATTTGCAATCATGACCGACACAAGAGAGGAAAGTAGAGAGCAATGAAAATCCCTTTAGTTTAGGTAAACCCTTCTCTGCAATTGATAATTTGTTTTAGTGTGAGATCATCTTTCTACTAATAAGCAATTGCTTATTTCATTTATCTCTGACAAGATTCCAGTTCATGGAATCCTATCCTGTTTGCAGAATGGGTGATTTCAGAAGAGTATTCCCTTGGAAGGATCAGGGGAACCAAAGGCCATTGAGAAAGGCTCAATAACATAAGACAAACTGTCCCTTTGTTTACTAAAACAAATTAGTGCTTCGATTCCCGTGGTCATCCAGATATTCTTATTTAGGTCTGCTTGGTTCTTTCTCTCTGGCTTCATTGCTGGGCAATCCACCAGGATAAAGCAAACAAATGCAAAAGTCTTCTTTTTTTCAAGCCAGTGACCTCAGCTAGATACTGCTCAGAGAATTCTGCTAAAGGGCTCAGTCCAAAATAATTAGAACAATTAGATAAATACACCCACAAATATGATGTATTTGTCTTCCTGCTGTTTCAGTTACAATTATTACAAATCAAAAAAAGAGGAATGGAACATGCTTGGGGCCAAGGTGTTCTGATGCAGACCACCGAAGCAAAGTCTATTTGCCTTTGTAAATGTAAACATTTAACTTGAAACAACACAACAGGAGATTGTTAACTCTCGACCTTTCACTTAGAGTTCCATTTGTTTGAGGCTTAAGCAATTTCATGGTGCAAAGTCTCTGACCACAGACCCCAGCTTTCTGGTAAACCCTCTGGGGGTGACATTGACTGGGCTTGTGGGTCTTTCCACCTGTCATTCACAGGGAGCCAATCTGTTGAGAGGTGACTCTACAGCCCATCAGTGAAGCAATGCAAAATGAGATTTTCTTGCTCCAACAGTTTATACAAATCAAAGAATGATCTTTATTGTCCAGAATGTGTATCGCCCTGAAGCTTTTATTTTATCTCAATTATTCAGATGTCTTGTTACAATATTTTCATTTGAGTTATGAGGATATCTGCTTACATTGCTATACATGCAGAAAGGTGTAGCTTTACATGATTTTTCTTTTCTTTTTCACCTCTGCCTCAATGATTGTTTTTAGTAAAACTGAAATTGAATACTAAATTTTATAAATATACAAAGATTTTGGTGGGAAGAATGTAGATTTATGATCATTCGTTAATGTCAAAGTAATCCTTACATATGTAGCAGCTTACATAAATTTCCTGAAATTACAGAAAAAATAAATTCTGGTTTAAGAAGTTAATCAAGTTTTTTTAAAGAACTGGCTCATAGGAAAAGCTTTCAGTACACTGTTGTCTTGCTATTTTCCAGGGTAGCCCTCAAGTTTCTGAGGCTTGTGATATAGCATTTTAATGTAATATTGTGTGTGTGTGTGTGTGTATATGCAGAGATATTTTTAAGTTCATAAACAAAATGTATAATACATACATATAATTATAATATGTAATTATAAATATAAATGTATAATTTAATAGCCTTTATATTTACTTGTGTGAATAAATTAAAATTAAATCTGTTGTGGAAATTATCATATTAGACTAAGAAGAGGTGTGTGTTTTTTTATGGGTTTCTCAGTTACTGCTTATTCAGACAGAAAACATGGAATTGTATGCATGGGTCTCTTCCTCTGTATCTCATTAGAGCAGTTTCTCTTCACCTCTTGTTCTTCCTCTTTGTCTCTCTGTTGTGTGTCCGCTTGAAAGAAGTCTCATCTGAAGGACAAGAGTTGCACAAGAAACCCTACTGAGACTCTTGCCATTGGCCAGGTTGCCATAGTGTTTAGAAAGAAAAATAGCTTCACAATCAGTTTCCTATGGATGCTCTGGAATTATGGCTGTGGGAGGAAAAAGAGGGAAGTTCAAAGACTTTAGCCATAGACTCTGATAAAACATAAATTCCTATATTACAGAAAAAATTAGACTAAAACACAGTGTGACCCTGGTTTTTATCATATTTACAAGAACAAGAAACACACATTCATGTTTGGAAGGCATAACTACAAAAAGGGAAGACATAAGAAGGATGTTAAAATGCTGACTCATAGGAAAAGCTTTTAGTACAGGGTTGTCTTGCTATTCTCTGGGGTAGCCCTCAAATTTCCGAGGCTTGTGATATAAAAGAATTGCCATCTTTGGGAATTTGTAGAAGGACTGATAGATACGGATGCAGGAAGTGATGGCATGATGATTCATTACAGATTCATTGGTTGTAAGTACAAACAAGTAGGGTAACCGTTTGAAAGGGTGTGGTGATATCCGGACACAAAATGATGGGGTGCCTTTACCTACCATTTGTGTCCCCTTCACAGTTATGGTGGGAATTTGACTGTGAGATCCAAGGTCTAGGATATTTCATTGATCTAAATGAGTTCTAAACATTGATTTAGCTGAAAACCTTTTTCCATGTGGTGGAACACAACAGCTTGTGGGATACAGTTGAATGGAAAGATGAAACATTTCCTCTGGTTTAAGCAATGGTTCAGTCATTAATAATATGCATCCAAGTAAATACACACCATTGGTTTCTCAGTAGTTGATTTCATAAATAAAATATTTTAATGACCGATTCAAGAAGTGCCCTTAGAGTAAGTACTTAAATGCATTTGAGTTTGGTGCATACATTTGAGATTTGAATGTAATAGACTTTCACAGTCTTTCCTATCATTTCTTTAAAATGCATTCATTTTAATCAGCTGCCTGGCTAGGACAAGCTAGAGGACACTGACTTGCTCGGTGCGTGTGATTATGTAAGTATAGGCATAACTATAATGTTTTGGGGAGAAACTACTTGATTATTTTAAGCAATAAGTGTGAAACAGATATATTATTTCAGAAAGCAACAGTGACCACAAAGAGGTAGAAAGTTAATTTTGCTTTTAAAGTTGCTTTTTTCCTCACTGTATAAAATTCATTTTGGGTAAAGGCCATGGAAAGTGTTACTGTGGAAACTGTTACTGTGATGCTGGTTGGCATGGAGATAAATGCGAATTCCAGTGTGATATCACCCCCTGGGAGAGCAAGCGAAGATGCACATCACCAGATGGCAAAATCTGCAGTAACAGAGGTGTGTCATTCATACACATTACTATGGATTTGGGAGGCAAACAGAGCTCTTAATTGTTAACACTCCTTTTCTCTGCATTTCCTTCTGTGTGGGAGGAAGTCATCTTTGATAGTCATTGACTTTGATGAAAATCAACATTTATTATACCAACAATTTTCTCTTTTTTGTCTTTTATTGAGTAGAAAACAGAAAAATTAGAAAGCTACTGTCATTCATTAAGCTTCACTGAACAAATAGTTAACATAGGAACTGTAATTTCTTTGGCGGCCGTCCAGAAATAGCATAGTGCAGCTAAAAGGCAATTCTTGTAGATACTTCTGTTAAATGTCTCTTGACTAACAGAACCATCTACAGCATGAACATCTAATTATCCAGAGAACATTAAAAATATAAAATCTCCTCTTGATGACTCAATTGAAGTCTTGGTTGAAATACAGAATTGACGTAGAGTCATTTAACTTTTATATACAATAATAGAAATGTCATATTGAACATAATATATTTGGAAATGGTATCAAAAGCCATATGAAATTTAGACTGGCCTTAGGCATACATTTAAAAAATATATTACTATTGACAAATTATCATTTAAATTAACTGTTGATATAAACTGTAAATTCGTCAGCTGGACTGATGGATAAAGAGAGTCATGCTGTAGGTGTTCTTTGCCTGCCTGATGAAATGAATAAGTGGTCATATTTCCTTCTATAAAAATCTAGAAACTGGAAAAATATTTTTTCATTTCTATAAGTAAATGATGCATTTTCAGAGATAATACTTCCAGGGAAAACCTTAACACACACCAATTTTATCCTTTTAAAAACTGACATAGAACAGTAAAATGTGCCACATATCTGAACATAGAGAAAAGAAAGGAAAAGACCTGAACTTGTAACAAAAATCCTTTAAAAGACTTCTATCTTCAATTTATATAGAATAGATATGACTGTATATCATACTAATTCACGCTATGTTTTCCTTTCATATATAAGGACCCGTTTCTGCTTCAGTTCTTTTATGCAGTAGGGTCCATAGTCACTGTAAGAATGTCAGTGTAAGAAGCTTGAACTGTGTTACAGTGGGAAATAACCATTTAGGTTTTGAAGAGAGAGAGGAGAAAAGTGAAGCTGATTGGACTGTGAATCAGGTCCTCATTCTGCAGGGATATGTGGGCTGTGAGGCAGACATCATTCACAAACACATGTCACTTGCCACCTCTCCATCTCACCTCCTGCCTTCCCTCTCTTCTGGTGCTGAAAGTTTTCTGATTTGGAGATGGGGCAGAGGCAGAACAGGAAGCAGCATGTCTAAATGAGGCTGGTAGCAGGTGAGATTCAGGAGTGTGTGAAGGCAAGCCAGGGCAGGCACCACAATGAGTTCCTTTTCCCAGAGCTACTACTTATGTCTACCCTAGAACTCTCCTTATCATTGCTTCCCCGGTAGGAGAGAGACATTAATCCTGCACATGTCTGCCTCATCTTCCTTTTTAGCCCATCTTTAAGGACCAAAACTCCAATGTTGTGAACACAGCTCATCGGTGATAGAATAAATGTTCTTTATTGCCCACTTTTGTTTAATCACAATTTCTCAGTGGACCCAATTTAACACATACCCATCCCCCCACATCCTGTAACTTATTGCAAAAGCAATGCATATTCATCTTTAAAAATGCAGATAGTAAAGAAGAAAATTAGCCATAATCTTAACATACAGATATAACCTCCTTTTACATTTTGGTGCATAATATTTTGGTCTGTTTTATTAATTTTTTTTTAAATTCATCATTTGTGTGCTCCCTGACATGTATTTTCTTCTAATTTAATACAAAAATTAAAGCATGCTATACATACTAATTTTTAAAAATATATTTTTATTGACTTCAGAGAGAGGAAAGGAGAGGGAGAGAAACATCAATGATGAGAGAGAATTATTAATCTATTGCCTTCTTCACATCCCTTACTGGGGATCTGAGCATGCAACCCAGGCATGTGCACTAAGAATTGAGCCCTGTCCTTCTGGTTCATGGGTTGGCACTTAACCACTGAACCACATCAGCTGGGCTATAATTTGTTGTTGTTTTTTTCATATAATCATATATTTTGGGTATTTTTCCATGCTCACAGAGCAAAAACCTAATTTTTACCTTTAATGGCTGCTTAGTAATCCAAGCTACACATTGTACTAATCCCTTTTTGATTGATATTTATGTCACTAGTTGTTTTTCAATAACATAAATGCCATCATATTTAATATTCCTGAACATATACTTTTGTGTACTTTTCCTTTCCTGTGGATATATTATTAGAAGTAGATTTTTATACTAAAATTCCCACATTTTCAGAGTACATATTGTGAAAAAAAAGTACATCCAGAGTTGTACTATTTTGTCTTCATACCTCACCAATCTTTGATCTTAGCCATCTCTTCACCTCTGCCAATCTGATATCCAAAATAATTCTAACTCACTATTGTTTTACAGATTCCCCACCCCCACCCGTTAGTAATCATAGGTTGAGTGGTAAACAATTGTATGTTTATCTATCCTCATTACATCTCTACAAAGTTTCTGATTGGTGTTCTTTTTGCCTTTGTCTATTTCACTTTAGGCATATTTGTCCTTTACATATTGATTTCTAAGAATTGTTTAAGTTTGTGAAAGTAGTTCTTTGTCTTTTGCCCACATATGACTATTTATTCCAACTGTTTGTTTTTGGTGTTTTGTTTGCAACCAAATTTTTACATTTTTATATAGATCTATTTCTATTTTTCTTTATAGTAATTTTCTTTTGGGATTTTGAATAAAAAAGATTTATTTTATGATTTTAGTTTATATTTTTAAATCTTCAATCTAACTAGATTAGAATGTACTCTGATGTGAGAGGTGAGAAAGAAATTTAACTTTATCTTTCCCTCAAATGATGATTAGCTCGTGGCTCTAAAGATGATTATTGATAACTCACACAAAGTAAATATGATCTATAACTGGGCACTTCCCCTTTGGAAATCTACATGTGACCACAGTTATATTTCTCTATCTAATCCAACATACTCTATAACTTGAGCTCATCCTAGCTAGCAAAACTTATCATTGGGTTTCCTTACATGCACCTTCTGCTCCTGGGACTCCTTAGGATCCCCACACCCATCCCTGCCCTTCTTTGCTTATTCTTGCTTTCTTGACTTTTCTTGATTTGTTCTACTTCCAATCGATCCTAGAATATTTCCCCATCCCCCTACATATCCAGACCATCTGCCCTAATTACTTTAGCCCACATTGATTTCTTCTCCCCCAAACTCTTACAGTATTTCTCACAGTATTTATGTCTTAGTTTAAAAAATGCTAGTACTCAGACATTTATTGTTTGCTTATTTTTCTTTCATTAGCTTTCTTTTTGTCAAGTATATTGGAAGCTTCTTGAGGACAAGGATTTTATCTTGTGCTGTTTTAATTTTGGGGGTATTATCTTTGAGACGAACCAACACAGAGCTAATGACATATTCCACAATCCCATATAAATATTGACAGAGATAACAACTTTTGTTTATTAAAAAATCTCTGCTATCAACTTTAGATGGACTTTTTCTTTGTAGAATAATTTTTTTCTGAATACATGTATTTTTCAAATACAAAATAAGTCACAGATTTTTAAAAAAGTAATGTATAAGCCTTTTGCTTTCATGAATTTTTCTCACTAGACTCACATAAAAGCATTTTTCCATGTAGGGACTTGTGTGTGCGGTGAATGTTCTTGCCACGATGTTGACCCAACTGGAGACTGGGGAGATATTCACGGAGATACCTGTGAGTGTGATGAAAGGGATTGTAGAGCTGTCTACGACAGATATTCTGATGACTTCTGTTCAGGTAAGTGCTCTCTAAATTCCTATTTAAAATTTTAAAAATATTCATTTTCCTATTTGAAGATTAATTCTGATTCTCACAGAAACTATAAAGGAACTGAATGTGCAGTCTGAAACATTGGATATCCACAGCACTCCTATTAGTCACTTGGAAACCTTTAAGATAATTCACACTTTGAGCAAAGACTGAAGAGGAAAATGCATCACTCCCTTAAAATTAGTCTAATTTCCCACCAGGGAAAGCCATTAGCTCTAGATATCCATTGCTTAACTCAGAGAATTCAAAACTGGCAGACCTTATGACAATTAACAGAATAGGTACCATGATGACAAGCTATATTCATATATTGCAAAACTTAGGATAATACATCTCTCATGGATATTTTAATGCATTAATTCTTCAATATAATTTACATACCAAAATTATTCTGCAAATTAGTTTAAATTGAATATCATTAGTGGATTCAAAAAATTGTTTCATAAATATTTATTGAGGAAATAGTATTTGCCAGGGTCTGGACTGCATCTGGGCTTCTGGGCCCAGCAATGAAGGAGCTAAACATGATTCTTTTTATAAAAATTATACTTTATTGATTTTTTAACAGAGAGGAAGGGAGAAAGATAGTGAGTTAGAAACATCGATGAGAGAGAAACATCAATCAGCTGCCTCCTGCACACCCCTCACTAGGGATGTGCCCGCAACCGAGGTACATGCCCTTGACCGGAATCGAACCTGGGACCCTTCAGTCCACAGGCCGACGCTCTATCCACTAAGCCAAACCGGTTAGGGCTAAACATGATTCTTGACTTTATGGAGCTTGACATCTAAATGAAAAGGGATAAATATATGACCTGCCAGAATTTTTAAGGGTTCAATGGGAAAAAAGGATCTGTCTGCAAAAGTGTCATTTAGCAAAAATGGATTATGGGTGTTCAGCCCAGTTAGGTTTGATAATCCAAAAGGCAGAGACATATACATAGACATCTCTTTAAGCTTGACTTCTTGGTGGTGTACATGGATAGGAAACACCACTGGTCTATTCAAAGCAGAGGGAGATAAAAGAGCTGCCCTATCTAAGTGTGATTTTACAACTGCAAAGACCTCTGGCCTGCTGCTTAAACTTCCCACTATGGAATGTTTTCTCTTCTGATTAGCCCTCATGTTCAGGAGGATTTCCTAAATATTTCAAGAATCCTGTTCTCTTGAGGGGATGATGCTCTTTTCAGATTTTTCTATTATTCATTAATATGAATGTTCTTTATTATCACACCAGCATAATGCAGGGCTTGACTCTATTGTAAAGACAAGGGGGAGTTTGTGATGGTTTTATGCAGTGGAGGGCTGTAGTCATGGGTCTGGTTGTGTGGGTAAATGTTACTGAGATGGGGAATATAGAAGGAAATTGTCAAATATATCAATCATAAAGGACAAATGGCAACCTAACATTTATATTTTTTTAGCTTATTAAATATGTGGGTCTAAAGGATGAGAACTGAATGTGAGAATTTAGTGATAAGCACAGAGTTGGTAATGAAAACTTTACTGAGACTCAATGAACATCATTTAAGAATGTCATTTTAAGATTGTGAGATAAAATATGAATTCACACAATTTAAAATAAGAAAATAAAGGAGATAGTCAGGTTTTTTATGTATGAAAAAATGTGTGTGGATTTCTGATAAACTTCCTCCCTCCCCATAGGGTGTGCTCTTCCTTGTTAAATTCATGATCTTGATTTGGGAGTGGGGCAGAAAATTTCAAAATAAATATATTATAGTGATAATTCAGGCTCTTGTGAATTGGTCTATCTCAATTGTGAGGGACTAGGACCATGAGGTGAAGATGGATATTGGCATTTCAGTTGATATCTCTATCCTTTTATAAGTTCACAATTCCTGTTGCATGTTACTTAAGCTTAGAATTACTATTATATGTTGGGCAGATAAAAGCTATTAAGGAGGACTACTTGGAATCTGAAACTTTGCACTTCATGTAATCCCTCCCTTTTTCCTTCTATCCCATTTTTATTTTCCTCTCATTTTTCATTCTTCCATATCCTATGAGATTTCAGACAAGAATGTTAAGCAATTGAGGTTTCTCATGGAAGGCAGCTAGAAGAGAATGATTAACCGTTTATATGTGGTTTCCATGCTGTGGGTATAAACAGGTAGGAATGGGCAAAAGTGTTAAGGTAATAGGCTGCAGTTTGAACAATAAGAAATAAGACAATGAGACGTGAAATTTGTAATTGTGATTTTGTCATTATTTGAGTGAACTGAATGTGTCCAGTTCTCCATAGCCTGCCTCTCACAGTTAAGTTGAGGCATTTAGGAAAGAAGAAACATTGACAGAGATCCTACTCTTATAGATACTTACCAAGTTCTTTCACATATCTCATTCCATTTTAGGCTCATACTAACTCAGAGAGGGAGACATGATTATATTTTAACAGAAGAGGAAACAGGTTCAACGAAATTAAGTAACTTGAAAAAGTTTTCACTGCCTTTAAGTGTCATTTAAAAACACATATGGCCCAAATACTCATGTAATTTAATCTCCAAGTGATGAAAATAAAATTCTTCAATTTATTTTGATAAGGAAGAGCTATCCTCTTGGTGCTCAAAATTCTTATAAAACTAAACTTCTCTGAACATAATTATGATCTTGGGCAGGCACCAATCTCAGCAGTATTTCTTTATTCTTACTAAATCTGTAATTTTATATATAAGGCTTAGTGAATTATTAGTCTTTACAATTTTTTCTAATTGCCTAAGTCACACCATAGGAAGGATGCCATGCAGCTGATTACTGAGTTTGTTAATAGCTTAGTTTTATGAGACAAAAGTAACCCAACTATGTCAATATTCTCTAGTGATTTATACAAGGCTGGAGTATAAAATGGTTCAGATGAAATGCAGCTTTATTTTTAGTTTATATTCTTGCCATGCAGAGAGTGTTGGTCTTATTTAAATCCAAAAGAAATCTCCTGATGGATTAGTTTAGGTTGGCTCTTCTCAGTAATACACTTAAACGTAGATATTTTGTGCCTACTCCATCATAGGTATGAAAGTACAAATATTTTAAAACATAATCCCTGCTTTCAAATAAACTTGCTTTATTTATTTTTTCTTTTATTGCTGTATATTGTTCACCATTCACATGGTGCATGTGTTAGTATGTATTTAGTCGTACACAAACATCACACACGCATACACACAAACACCTCAAAGATGATATTATTGACAAAACTTGGGTGCTACTAAAATGGCCAGGACATGACCAGTAATCCTAAAGTATACCAACTGCTACTTCAGTTCTATGAGCTGCTCCTTTGAATTTACTTTCTGATTCTGAAATACGTTTCTATTCCTGATGATTGCTTACCACCCTGGTCTCTTTCTCAAATTTCCATGATTGAAAAATTATGTTGCAGTGTGACCTTAAACTCCATCTTTCAGTTTGGGGTGCCTATCAAAATAATGAAAATATAAGATTAGTCCTGGTATACAGTAGCTTGGAAAATGGAATCATTTGATAGAACCTATATTATGTGGGAAATTTTATCATTGTGGATTACCAAAGCACTAAGGAAAGAAACTGAAGGAAATTATTAAGTATGTTCAGGTTGCATTGTCTTGAAGGAAAATCAATATATTGAAGGATTTTTTAAAATAACAAGTACTGATTAGATCTAATTTATTTCCCCAAACTTTTCTCTATTGATTGTCTTCATATTACTTTGTAAGAAACTACTTGTCAACATCAGATTCCAATTCATGACCATTTTAAAAGAAAGGAATGTCCACTATAGCAGAAGAGTGTTTGTCTGGAGTGAATGAACCTGCATTTGTCCTGTATTTCTGAGTTTAGATAGCTTACATCAAAGGAGCACAATAATTGCAAAGAAAAAATTAGTTTTGGTGTCAACAGTCTCTAATATCATGGCTTGAGAGCCTTTTTAGTTTTACCTGCCCAACATAGCCATGATGACACTTGATGTCTGGTCTTGCTGTCATCTCCCCACCCATATGGTACAGATTTGGCTGTGATCCCATTTACAGTATGTACCAGCACCAACACCATGCTGTTCTCCCATTGTGTGTGTGTGTGTTTGTGTGTGTGTGTGTGTGTGTGTGTGTGTGTGTGTTAATGTATGCTTACAGATCTTTTGAAAGCAGTTCTCCTCATATTTGATATCAGGAATAAATAACAATCTGTATCTTTTATTTCTGTTTTGTTATCCCTTGCTTGCAGAGTTTAAAGGAATATTTGTTAGAAGCAATGAAATTAACTCCTGCAGGCATACTCTACAAGCTTGATAAACTAGCATGGAAACATTACATATCTGATCAGAGTGGTGAAATTCACATCTTTTAGTTCTCTCACTTTTAAAGATAAAGTCCAGTGAGATGAGGCCCCAAAAGATGAACTAGTGACACATTTAGATCAGGGACACAAGTATCCTAATTTCTTTTATGCCCTTTCTACTATTTGTGTATAAAATACTCTGATAGTGTATGTTATGATAGTCTAAAAGATTTTGATGCTAAATACATCTTATCTTTCCTAAACTTTTCTTTGTATATCAAAACCATGCATTCTCATCTTCTTTATTTTATCTTTATAAAATGATTCCTTCTCTCTCTCTCTTTCTCTGGCATAACTTTTGCAGCAGAATTGAGAGACTAGGAACTCCAGAAGAAAAATTGCAGTTTCCTTTATGACTGGAGGTGAAGCATAAATTCATAGGATTCATCCTTAAGATGCCCCATGATACTGCATTAAATGTACAGGAAATAGAAGTGCAATATTTCATAGGCTACATCTTCCTCTAGTGTTTATAGCAGAGCACAGAAATAGCAAAGGATTAAAAAAATGAAGCTACAATCATAACATAGAGCTATTTTTTCTAGGGCAGCTGCATTTTTCCATAATTAATGCATCCACAATGAAGCTGACATATTTTGATATTAATTGGACCATATTTTAACTCTAAAAATACCTTATTAATAACTTCTGACTGTCCTCACAAATTTGTTTTATTCAGCCACAATTATTTTAGTATTTCCATGTGGACGATCCTCAGATAGATAATAATAACCGCTCTTAAATCTGTGTCCAAACGATACAACTTGAGACTGTTCTCCCTGCAGTCACAGGTGTCCCCAGCACAGGCTCCTGCTGCATTTTAGGTGCCTCGTTATTGGGACCTTCACACTGGGCATGGGCTGCTGCCCGAGGATTTCAAACAACTGCAGCAGCAGGCGGCATCCCCATTGGTAGGGACTTCCTGGCATCTTAAACCTGCTGGATATTTTGTTCTAACTTTGACAGCTATTTTAAACTCTCAAGAGTAAAGCTTTCCCCCCCTTTCAATCTAACTCTCTTCTTCAGTTTTTTTGTTTTGTTAAAGTGTTAACTGATCTTTCACAAATGACAGCATGTTCTGTACTTTGCCCGGTATCCTCATGGCAGATCTAAATGTTCTTGAAATGAAAACGCTTTGTCTTCAAGAGTTTCAAAGCCATTAGCTCTTTTAAGATGGCAGAATAGATTGTACTTTAAATGTTAAAGATTTTGTTTTTATAACTGTTATTTACCTATGCATTTGCAATACAGCTCTGTTCACAAATTTTGTTTGAAATGGCATGAGGGTTGAGGAGAAGAGTAGGAATTTCTTAAGCTGGGATAAATGGCAAAAAGCCACAGGATCTACAACCAATGAAATCTAATTGCTAATAAATTAAACTACTAAAATAAAAATCCTCATATTTGAAGGCCTAAATGATCCTATCCACATGTTATACATACAGGGTATCCCCAAAAATGTATACACACTTTGAATAAGTATTAATTCCAATGGATTAAATCTGAAAAGAAAGAAACATTGATGTTAATAATTATTCAAAGTGTGTATACATTTTGGGGGGACATCATCATTGATGTTTCTATCTCTTTTTTTCTCTCCCTCCCTTTCTGAAATTAATAAAAATATAATTAATTAATTAATTAAAGAAATAAATATAATGAAAATAATGTGTGGGTGACTTGAAAAGATAAGACCCCATTTCACAAACAAATTATTTTCCATTTCCAATGCTTTCTCCACATGAATTAATTGTCAAATCCATCAAATATTCTATTTAGGCTACAGCAGGCCAGTACAATCACATGCATATGGATTTTGATAAATTCACATTTATAGCCCTATAAGCCTGTTAATCATATCTGGAGTTGTTGCTTTTCTTTACCCCTTATGAGCAATTAATATAAATTAGTTATTTAGGATCTTGAGAAAAATGTACCTTTGCTTTAAGGTCTAATATTGTCAACTAAGATCCTGACTCATAACATTCCCTGTTGAAATGAATTCTGACTTCAATATATTTTTCACACGTATATATATTTTTTACTGCTCTCATCGTGAAGGTCATGGACAATGTAACTGTGGAAGATGTGACTGCAAAGTAGGCTGGTATGGGAAGAAGTGTGAGCACCCACGTTCCTGCCCACTGTCGGCTGAGGAGAGCATCAAGAAGTGCCAAGGGAGCTCCGATCTGCCCTGCTCCGGAAGGGGTAAGTGAGGGCTCTCAGGCCTTACCACCGCCTCCTAATCCTATGCGACAGATGAATTCAGTTCACATATATCCTATTGAAAAGATAGCTAAGATTCCTGAATGAGCGATGAGTCTTTTAAGAACTAATAAAACATACAGATGATGTATCAGAATTGTACACTTGAAAATGTATATAATCTTATTAACCGATGTTACCCCAATAAATTTAATGAAAACAAATCCAAGTTCCATGAATGAAAGTACCTGGAGAATGTAATCTCTCTTTCCCTTTCTGTCCCACACACCCAGACACACTCACACGCTATCAATTCACTGTAACCTTGAGGTTTGTTCAATTTCAGTTCATTTTGACTCAGTTCAATGATACATTAAAAAGAAAAAAAAAATGTTTGAATATTTGCTCAAAATTTTCTGAATGAGACCATCTAATAGTTCACTGCCATTTCTGAAACTCAATAACATTGTATTGGGGAGAGTGTTGGCTTCTGAAAGAGCATTGTATGCACAGATAGTTCTGAATAGGCTTTTGTTGTCTTAGAAGGCATGTGGTCTCAGGTGCACTCTTGGTACCAGATCAGTACAAATTGAAGAAGGAGGCATTCATCTAGCGGAAAGCTGGTTCCATTCTTTTTGATTTATCAAAATAAGAAATACAATTTCACCTCTAACTTGAAAATGGCAACAAGCATTAATATAAACTATGCTTTCAGAGGAACTGGTAATTGAAGTAATTGTAAATTTTATTGTGAGAGAGGAAAAAGAATACTTCCTTTACCTGAATGCTAGATCAGATGTCTAATTTCGTTACAGTTTTCTTTTTGAAAAATAAATTTGTTATTGAGATATAATTCAAGTTCCATAAAAGTTGCTTTTTTAAAGTGTATAACTTAGTGGCTTTTAGTATGTTAACAGAATTATGCAACTATCACCATTATATTATTCTAGAACCTTTTCATCACCACAAAAAGAATCTCTGTACCCCTTGCCAGTCATGCCCCATTCTCCTCTCCCCTCAACCCTTAAACACCATTAATCTATGGATTTTCCTACTCTGGGTAATTCATATAAATGGGATTATAAAATATGTGACCTTTTGGTTTCTGGCTTTTTTTCACGTAGGATGTTTTCAAGCTTTATCCATGTTGTAGCATGAACTTCATTCCTTTTTATGGCTGAATAATATCCATTTGTATGGATAGGCCACATTTATTTATCCATTTATCTTTTAATGGACATTTGGAACGTTTCTACTTTTCAGCCATTGTGAGCAATGTCCTATAAACATTCATGTATAAGTTTTTGTGTGAATTGTGCTTTTATTTCTCTTGGGTTTATACCCATAGTGGGATTTCTGGGTCATGTGGTAATCTAGGTTTAATTTTTTGAGGTACTGTCTTTAAGGTGGAAGTCATTTTACATTACCACCTGCAATGCTAACGTTCCAGTTTCTTCACATCCTTGCCATTATTTGTTATCATCTGCTTTTAAGAATTACTCATAGTTTTCCTCATGTAGAAAACCCCCAAAGTCTCCAAGATTATTTGTACCATAGGTATTTTCCTATACTTTGATATTTGTTTCCAATGATTGTTAAGTAGGAAGATAAGAAAGATATGGGTAGAGGAATATTTTTATTTCACAAGCATTTCTGACTTACCCCGTCTCTCACTGGTAGCCCTAGACAAAAACCAGTGTTCTGTCTGCATTAATACAGTATTGCCATTGTAGTGCTTGAGTCTCTCATGCTTTTAAAGTAAGATTAAAAGTTAGTATCTTTCAGACTACTGTTATTTATTTATTTACTCATACATACATTCATTTATTGTTAAAAATAACTTATATAATGGGGGGGGGAACAAAAACATACAAAATATCTCTCAGAGATATTTTTCATTTGTCTCTAAAATTTTTAATATAGTGCTAGTGCAAGAAGGTTCTTATGGGCTTTATCTATAAATTTTTAATAAACCCTAATAAACACATATTTGTCTCTTACCTTTCTAGAGGTTAGCTAATAAATTTAGCTACAATTTGAAGAAGTAGAGTATATCTAAAGTTTGTTATTAAAAAGGTATTGAATATATGGATTAAGTTATAATTTCTATTTCTTATAATTCACTTAAGCCTTTTGAAATACTTTACAAATAAATAATAAGCTTTTCTAGTTTCCTCATGGAGAAATTGAGGTATTAATGAGTGAAGTGATTTCTCAGGGACCATAATATAAGGATATTGAGAGTGAAGACCAAGGATTTATGGGAGCCAGTACTCAGACCAATGATCAGAGACGCTTCCTTTTTCATAGAGCTACATCTGCAAACTCATTGGCATTGGATGTTTCATAGCAAATAGCCAATATGAAACTTGCGAAGGATTAGTTTTGTAATATATGAGTGACAATTGCACCAGTGGTTACATGACTGAGGAAAGCAATTACAAGGCCCATCGGTTCACAAGCCAGAGAGCCTCTTCAGCTTACCAGCTGGGGCCAAGAAAAATAAATTATCCTGGAAGAATGTACTGAAGTTCCTCAGTAGAGTCCACCTCAGAGGTGAGGTGAAGGCGTTTTCCACTGGAAATTAAATTGGATGACTTGCTTCTGCTGGTGATGACTGAGTGTGCTCCTATGTCTTCGAGGTAGGGGAATAATTTACATTATCTCTTACGTTATCTACTTATCCTCTGATTCCTTGATTTCTATTTCTTATTGGCTAGGAATAACTTTTCATTTAATTTAGTTGACTCTCATGTAGTCAATATGGATATACAGTTGTTCATCTTAATTTCTACTCCTGGGAGTTAGGCATGATGTACAACTTTCTCTATTTTCATACCAATGTTCTGCTAAAAAAACTGAAATGATAGGTTACACATTAGTTTTAAACTCTTCATGACTTAGAAATACATTTATTATTATTATTGAGGTTCTCTTCCTGAGTCTGTGTCTGGCTTTGTTAAAAAAATGTGAACAACGTGATGTGTTCATTTTGGAGCAGAAGCTAGAGGCAGTGAGAGATTTGCCATCTCCGTTTTCCTCTGGCCCAGGGATTTGGAGTATTTGAGATGGTGGCTAGTTAGCCTGGGTCTCTGAATGAGGATAATTAGCAGAAACCTCTGCTGACACCACCAAGGGACCTGTAACAGGAGCAAGAAATAAACCTATCTTTTTTGAATCAGCTCAGATATTGGGGTACTTTGTTACTGCAGCAGAACTCCTGACTCATACTGTCTGCCATGTACAAAATTTAGGGAACACATTTAAACCAAAGCAAACAAACAAGCAAATGCAACAAAAATCTCATTTCAAACCCTACAAGACAACTGAGGTTAATAATATATGCACATCATATCAATATCTAAATCAAATTAAATATAAATGTGCATATTTTACAAATGATGTATTTATGCTACTCTATCAACAGCATGTTATGCACACTTACTCAATGGGTAAAATGTTAAGAACATTGCACGCATTGTCTTTTATGCTATCCCCAAATATAATGAGGTAGGAAAAAGAACAATTATTCTTCTCTTTACAGAAAAAGAAATTAGAAGTTTTAACAGTTTGATACCTTACACAGTAAGTCCCAGAGATGCAAGTTTTAACACAAACTTTTACTACAGGCCCTCTGACTCCAAAGCTGTCATTTTAGATGATTTACTGGTTCTTTTATTATACCAATTTGCTGAACAATATGTAATGAATATATTTATTTCTTTGTTACAAACATTCTTATGCAAAATCATTGGTATAATTGCATGGTATTCCATAATATGATTGTAACAAAAGAACTAACTTTCTTTTCTTAGACATCTAAATTGTCTCATTTTATTCATATTCTAAATATTATACTTTATGCCCTAGCTCAGCGTTTCTCAACCTGTGGGTCATGACCCCTCTGGAGGTCGAACCACCCTTTCACAGGGTTCACCTAAGACCGTCGGAAAACATATATAATTACGTATTGTTTTTGTGATTCATCACTATGCTTTAATTCTGTTCAGTTTGTAACAATGAAAATACATCCTGCATATCAGATATTTACATGATGATTCATAACAGTAGCAAAATTACAGTTATGAAGTAGCAACAAAAATAATTTTATGGTTGGGGGTCACCACAACATGAGGAACTGTATTAAAGGACCACGGCATTAGGAAGGTTGAGAACCACTGCCCTAGCTAGTTTGGCTCAGCCTGCAGATTAAAGGGTCCCGGGTTTGATTCTATCAAGGGCACATACCTCAGTTGCAGGCCCCTCCCTAGCCCAAGCCCTGGTCAGGGTGCATGCAGGAGGCAACCAATCGATGTGTTTCTCTCACATTGATATTTCTCTCTGTCTTTCCTCTCCCTCCCACTCTCTCTGGAAAAATATCCTCAGGTGAGGATTTAAAATTAATAACAATAATAATAATAAATACATATTGTGCTTTATATTCAGATAGCCTAAAAGTTGCACAAATTCTTAGTATTAATTCTGACATGTAGAATGCATACACCTAAATGAATAAAAATACATTGAAGTTTTTCAATTAAAAATTGCTGCACCCAACAATTTATATTCTCTATAAAAATTGTGCCAGTATAGCCTCCTGCCAGGAGCATATCAAGGGTTCTCTTCACCCTCCAATGCTGACAGTTTAATCAGTAGCTCTTCTCAATCTATTTTTCTTTTAGTGTTATGCACTTTTTATCAAACTCATTTTATTGACTCCTATAATCGTAAAAGAGTAATATTTATCTGCAGGCATTATTAGTTAGAGGCTTGTGTTGAGGTATTTTTCCTTCTTTGATCATTTGTCCTTGTACCCAAGTCATCTTTTTGTTTGGTACTCAAATCCCGTGTGTTTTTGTTGCCTATCCTCTGTGCCATTTGGTTTTTTTTTATTAGACTTGTTCTAAGAGGTATTGTATATGTTTTAGTCCTTAAACACACAAAGGGAAGGTGTGAAATGGAGCAAGAATGATAAATTGAGGTTAATTATTTAATATTATAGC